CCAGGAACCCGTCCTGCAGCTCGCTCCTGCATCCCCTCACAGGTCATGGCAAGATGCTCACAAGGCTCCGAGGGGTGACCGATCCTTTGTCTCTGTGGCTGCAGCATGTGGAAGCCAGCAGGGGGGACAGGCCGGCCTGCACGGTTAGCAAGCCGGGCTGAGCCCCACCAGGCCGGAGAGGGTAGGGGCTATTTCAGGCTGAGCAGAAGGCTGGGCTCTTTCCCAACTCTGCTGGGCCAGGGCGAGTCACCTGGGGAGCCCTGGGCAAGTTCCCCAGAGAGGCAGCAGCACTGAGCAGACCCCCCCCTCAGCAGAGCAGCTAGGAGTGGGGGAGCCTGGCCCTTTCCCAACTCTGCTGGGCCAGGGCGAGTCACCTGGGGAGCCCTGGGCAAGTTCCCCAGAGAGGCAGCAGCACTGAGCAGACCCCCCCCTCAGCAGAGCAGCTAGGAGTGGGGGAGCCTGGCCCAGGAGGAACCCGGCGGGGAGGGAGAAATCAGGGAAAGGAAGAGGCCAAGCAGAGGAGAGCAGGTGGGGGGCAGGGAGGGGGGACTTCCCATCCAGTGGGCAGCACGGCCAGGGCCAGCGATCCCGATCCCATCCCTGACCAATTGCAGCTCCCCCATCCGAGGGCACCAATTAATAATAGCCTGGAGGCATTGCCCATCCCCATGGTAACACCGCTGCCTCGTCAATACTGACAAGGGTTTCCACTGGCAACCGGCGAGCAAGGCAGGCCGATCTCCCTCTGCAAGGGGGTTCCCAGGCAAGGAGACTGACATGAGAGGGGAGGGGGGGGATCCAGCTTCTAACGCTTCCCGTTTCTGTGCCCAGCCCCACTCCACGCCGCAGTGACATTACCTGGGCAGGGCCCTCGCCACGCAGGATGGGGTCACCCCAGAGTTCAGACAGGAGGACCCCCCCTCGGTCTCACTCCCAGAGCCAGGCAAGGCCGAGGCCGTCCAAGCCTGTTGGCCGCCCTGGCTCTAGAGGCCTCAATCAAAGACCCCAGGGTAATTCCCGGCCAGCCCCAGCCCCTGTTGGAGAAGGCTGGGCTGCCCAGCCCTTCACTGAATCATCCGCAGGAGGAACCCGGCGGGGAGGGAGAAATCAGGGAAAGGAAGAGGCCAAGCAGAGGAGAGCAGGTGGGGGGCAGGGAGGGGGGACTTCCCATCCAGTGGGCAGCACGGCAGGGGAAACGTCTATGCTATTTCTGAGACTAAAAAAGTCCAACTAAGGCTTCATCTCCACTGAATACTCACACTGGCCGAGAACGGCCGTCAGGGGAGTGAAAACCCACGGGCCCCGCAGCCAGCCCTACGGTGACTAACTCCAGCAAAGACAGACGCGTTCACCAATGGCAACCTGGGGAACTCTCCGCCAGGGGATGTTGCGAAAGCCAAGACAGCAGCAGCATTCAAGGAAAGAGCCAGACACATCCATGGAGGGCAGGTCCATCGATGGCTATTAGGATGGGCAGGGATGGTGTCCCGAGTCTCTGGGAATGGGGCTCAAAGGGATACGTTTAGGAGACTGCGTCTTTCATTGGCTATTAGCCAAGAGGGCCTTGCTTTCCCCCCTCGCTCCGCAGGGAGAGCTGGTGGGGCTGAGGGAGTCACAATGCCCCTGCACCAGACAGGAGCGGGGCAGGCAGGGGAGGTGTGGCTAGGTCGCTGTTTGAATGGACACAGAATGAAGCGCCCAGGAGAGGCAAGGGCAGGCCGAGGACCAGACGGGCCCTTCTGCGGGACGGCAGGCCGTGCGGCGCGGGAGGTGAGAACGGGCTGCCGGCGCGGAGAGACGAGATGCTGGAAGCGGCAGGGAAAGCTGCAGCGCACGAGCTCTACGCGCCGGCCCTTCGCCTCCAGCCCTGTTGTGTCGGTATTTCGGCGAGCTGTGAGACAGCCGCTCTGGGTCTCTGCAAAACATCGGCGTCTCGCTGCTGACCCAGAGACGTGGGGGGAGGGCGGAAGCCAGCGCGCCAGCATGGGGGTAGCGAGGCTGTGGGGCGCCGAAGGGCTGCCTAGCACCTCCTGGGAAGGACAGAGGCACGCTGGGGCCCAAGCAGACCCCTCCCCACTGACAGCAGGGACTCTGTGGGAGTGTCTGTCTGAGCCAAAGGACTTACAGCCTCATGGGACAAGAGCTGAGAAGGGAAGCGACTCACGGGGCAGAGCTGGGAACAGGCCGGAGGTCTCCAGAGCCCCAGGGCAGTGCTATTGATCCTGTCTGTTAATTATTAGACTCTTTGAAGGTCAAGAAAGCAGATAAAAGGAGGAAAGACGGGGAGTACATGGGCTATTATATCACTTTGCAGAAGTTTCCAGAGAAGAAAAATTAATCCTGGGGGGGGGGGGGGGGGGGGGGCGGCTGGCCCCAGGCTGCTGCCAGCTTCCCAGGTGGCAGGACTCAAACACAACATCAAAGGGCCAGCGACTGAACTATTTGCAGGCAACAGGCGCTGCTGGCTCCGTCACCATGGCAACCCTGATGAGTCATTGTACTGGGGAGGAACAAGGAAGAGGAATTCACACCCCAAAACTGCAGACCTGCCCCAGCTCTGCCAGAGCCCCTCGGTGCCAACCCGCAGCCCCCTCTGCCATCCCTGCCCCAGCTCTGCCAGTGCCCCTCGGTGCCAACCCGCAGCCCCCTCTGCCATCCCTGCCCCAGCTCTGCCAGTGCCCCTCGGTGCCAACCCGCAGCCCCCTCTGCCATCCCTGCCCCAGCTCTGCCAGTGCCCCTCGGTGCCAACCCGCAGCCCCCTCTGCCATCCCTGCCCCAGCTCTGCCAGTGCCCCTCGGTGCCAACCCGCAGCCCCCTCTGCCATCCCTGCCCCAGCTCTGCCAGAGCCCCTCGGTGCCAACCCGCAGCCCCCTCTGCCATCCCTGCCCCAGCTCTGCCAGTGCCCCTCGGTGCCAACCCGCAGCCCCCTCTGCCATCCCTGCCCCAGCTCTGCCAGTGCCCCTCGGTGCCAACCCGCAGCCCCCTCTGCCATCCCTGCCCCAGCTCTGCCAGTGCCCCTCGGTGCCAACCCGCAGCCCCCTCTGCCATCCCTGCCCCAGCTCTGCCAGTGCCCCTCGGTGCCAACCCGCAGCCCCCTCTGCCATCCCTGCCCCAGCTCTGCCAGAGCCCCTCGGTGCCAACCCGCAGCCCCCTCTGCCATCCCTGCCCCAGCTCTGCCAGTGCCCCTCGGTGCCAACCCGCAGCCCCCTCTGCCATCCCTGCCCCAGCTCTGCCAGTGCCCCTCGGTGCCAACCCGCAGCCCCCTCTGCCATCCCTGCCCCAGCTCTGCCAGTGCCCCTCGGTGCCAACCCGCAGCCCCCTCTGCCATCCCTGCCCCAGCTCTGCCAGTGCCCCTCGGTGCCAACCCGCAGCCCCCTCTGCCATCCCTGCCCCAGCTCTGCCAGAGCCCCTCGGTGCCAACCCGCAGCCCCCTCTGCCATCCCTGCCCCAGCTCTGCCAGTGCCCCTCGGTGCCAACCCGCAGCCCCCTCTGCCATCCCTGCCCCAGCTCTGCCAGTGCCCCTCGGTGCCAACCCGCAGCCCCCTCTGCCATCCCTGCCCCAGCTCTGCCAGTGCCCCTCGGTGCCAACCCGCAGCCCCCTCTGCCATCCCTGCCCCAGCTCTGCCAGTGCCCCTCGGTGCCAACCCGCAGCCCCCTCTGCCATCCCTGCCCCAGCTCTGCCAGAGCCCCTCGGTGCCAACCCGCAGCCCCCTCTGCCATCCCTGCCCCAGCTCTGCCAGAGCCCCTCGGTGACAACCCGCAGCCCCCTCTGCTATGCCAGCCCTGGGCTCCTCCCCCCTCCCCCGAGCTTTGCTGCTGCCTCTCAGTCTTGACCCACAGGTGCCCCCAGCACTTTTGCCTTCCTGCTGGCAGGCTTCAGAGAAGAGGTGTGGACCCACATCCCTGCCCTGTCCAAGGGAACACAGGAGTATCTCCCCTGCCAGACCCCAGGAGAGAGCCCGGGAGCAGAGCCTGGCCAGAAGTCTCTGGGACAAGCCAAGGATGCTCCGCTACTGCAGGGTCCCCCTGGTCAGCAGGAGACTGCCGGGCTCCCCACGAAGGGGTGAGTGGCTTGGATGCGACAGATGCTGGTTGCGGAAGTGCTCTGCATGGAAAACATGTGGGGGGGGGGAATCACTAGCACCCCCTTTTGGGGAGAGGCAGCCCCCCCAGACCCACAGATCAGAGCAGCAATTCAAAGTTCATTGCACAGTGACCCCACCCCCAACACACACTACCACAGGACCCTGTGCCGCAGGGGGCCCCGTGAAGCTAAACTGCTCCGGGTGGGGCTCAGGCTTTCGCAGGGCCAACATTAGATTCGCTGGGGCCCAGGGCAAAAAGCCCAAGCCCAGCCCCACACTTTGGGCTCGAGCCCCATGGGAATGAAGCCTTTGGAGTTTGGCCTC